CTAGTGGCTTCCTTTCTTACTTTCTCTCTCTCTGTCTCTCTCCAGTCAAATTAAAATAAATAAATGAATAAATAAAATTAAAGAAATAATTAAAAATAATAAAAAGGAAACATGTTGGGATGTGCTATAAAGTCAATATATGTCAGCAGTTACTGCAATATTTATTTTTCTTTGACTTATGCCAAATACTTACAGGAGCAAATGAAATTTAGAGGGTAATGTCAAAGATGTGGTATAGTACAAAACATGTTAGAACTTAGAAAACATAAACATGTTAACATTTTAATAAATCTTAATGCTTAGTTTGTGATCATCTGGGGAGAACTAAGGACATGAGATTCATAAGAAAAATTCATGGGGGCGTTGAGGTTAAGACTTTGACTATCACTAGTAATGGCAAAAGCATGCCTGTTGATCAGGGCTCCTTTTCCCCCTATATAATGACAACGGTTCTTTTTATTTTATATGTAAGTGCTTCTTTTCCATTGCTTATTCCTTCTAATCTCTTTGTTTTCCATGATCACTTTCTTCATTTTAGCTCATACACTCTTTTTTTGTGAGTTTCATTTATAACTGCGTGTTAGACATCTCCACCCTGATGATTCCTCAGCATCAAAAATTCCACACATCAAAAAACCGAATCTGGCCCAGTTGCTGTGGCACAGTGGTAATACAAATGCCCTGAAAGGCTGGAAGCCATATGGCTGACCATGAGTTTGGGTGCATAGGTCAGCTTGGAAACGTGCTAGGCATGTGTGTGTACCCAGGATCCTTAAGAACTAAAAGGCTGGGGAATGGGCATCATAGCCTGACAAGATCCTTTCAAGGGTCTCTCTTTCTCTCTCTCTCTCATTCTCCCAAAACAAACAGACAAACAAAACGAAAAAACATCAATTCCTGCGATCTTTTCCTCCTGACTTCTGAAAACTTGCAAAAGTGAAAAACTTTGGTTTGAAATCCCTGAGTCATCTCTGACTCTTCTTTCTTTCTATTCTACCATATTCATTCAGTCATGAGTTCTATAGATCTCATTCCCTTAGTGTCCTTCAAACTATTCTCTCCTTTTAAAATATGATTATTTTCTTAAAGTTTGTCTTTACTCACGAGACAGAGTGTGTAAAGGTATATGAGAGGGAGCAGCATCCTTGACACAGTCTTGTCGTGCCATGATCCTGTTTTCCCAGTCCTCTTGCTTGTCAGGATCTTGGGCATATGTGCACCTCATGTGTCTTTTTGTCTATGTGGAATCTGAACCCATGGCTGGCCGTGTAGCTGCCAGCTCTGTAGCTCAGTATACCACTGCCTGCACCTGCCTATTTCCTTTCCCACTACTAAAGGCCTTGTTAAGTTTCTTGACTTTACCTCCTACCTAATGTACTGCAAGAGACTCCTGTTTTTTTTTTTTAATCTCTATTTTAGTGTCACTCTTATAGTATTATTAAACATTTTTACCATAACAAAAATAGTGTCTACATTTCCAGGTTACAATAAGTAATTAAGTTTACTCATTTATTTCTTCCATGGGAGAAAGAGAGACACAGAAAGAGACAGGCATCCCCAGCCGGGCCTTCGTGCTGTGATCTGCCTCAGTCAGTCAGTGTCATGAGCACACGCACATGTATCAGATGTAAACAGGAAAATTTCAGGAGGCAAACCCAGTGCCCTCCCATGTGGTCTCAGCCACTTCCCTTTCTAGAATTATATTGGTCTAGGTACCTTCCAAAGGTTCTTATTAAAAATAAAATTCTAGTTAAAATACAAAGAAAAATAATCTTGTAGTTCACCAATGAGTTGGATAGTAAAATGAGGAAGATTCAGAGAATAAAACCTAAGATAAAGAACAGAAAAAGGTTAGCAGTGGAAAACTAGTAAAATCAAAATGAAGTCTGTAGGCCAGCTGATTACCTACAGACAGGCCAATTTAAATTTCCTAATTTGGACAGATATAACATAATGCCATGATAATGAACAAAGGGTCAAATATAAGTATAAACTCCCTGTACTGTCATTGTAACTTTTCCGTAAACCTAAAATTTTTCCAAACCCAAAGTAAAAAATAAATAAGGTGAAGGTAAGATCCCTATGGTAAGTAGAGCATTGAAGCCCACTCTCATCTTGAAGGTGAGCCATACAGACATAGGAAGTTTGAAAGGGAAAGTACGGGAAAGCTATAACTTTAAGGATATACTAAAGCAACAGAAGTGTGTAACTATATTAATATCAGGCATTAATATCAGACAAAGTAGACTTTAAGACAAAAGTCATTATTTTGGACTAATAATGACAATAGGTTAAAGTTTACTGTGAATATTCTAAACTTATATGATCTTACTAAAATAGTCCAAAAATATGTAAAGCAAAACTGATATTCAGCTACGGAGAAATAGTCAAATGGACACCATCTTGGCAGAACTGAACAAAGCTCCCTCAGTTATAGGTAAGTCAATCCAGGATTACCATATATGGCCATGGAAATAGTGTATATGCAACTCCAGGCTGTTGTGTCAATGACTCTTCTGTAATTGTATAATGTAGTAATCTGAGGTCAAGCTAAAAATAATGCAGGGCCAGCAGATGGCGTAATGGTTACATCACTGCACTCCCATGTAGTCAAATTGTGGTTTGAGTCCCAGATCCTGCAGCTTAAACTCACGCAGGTGCATGTGTGTGTATGCCCAAAATCCCAAGAGGAGAACGGAGGAGAAGGGATTGTGGTGTGGTCATCCACCCTAAGGGGTGATTTCTTGCTTTCTGTCTCTGTCTCTCTCTGACTCTCCAGGAGGCCACATGCCCTATAACAAAAATCTTTCTCAAAAAAAAAAAGAAAAATAATTGAGGATAGAGAATATTTAAGGTAATAATAAGATTAATGTAAGGTTCTTATATACAATCTTGTACACAATTAGCAGAAAAATACATAATTCTTTTCCAACTCATGTGGAATCGATCTCATATTAGGTCATAAATTCAGTTACAGCAAATTTTAAGCAATTGTTATACTATAAACCAGCATTGTCCCACAGCCTCATGTAGCATCTGAGCATTTAAAATGTGGCTAGCTCAGGGTGAGATGTGCTGTAAGTCCATTGACTTGTATTTTATACTTATATAAAACCTTCCATGTATCTATTCTATATATACATATACAATTACTGAAGTGGCCTGAGGACAGGGCAGAGTGAGTATGTAGAAGAAAGAGTAAAGACCAAGGGAAAGGAAGGAGCAGGTAGGTAGTAGGCCTCTCTCTCTAGTGCAGGGTTTAGTGTCCTCTGTGGACAAGGCAGAGCCATCTGCCCCTGGAGATACGGAAGTGAATTAGGAAGGCAGAGGCACTGTTGGAATGGCATTCCAAGTCCAGCACACATACAAGGAAGATTCATGTTTTAAAGTGTGAGGCACACCCAGCATGTTCTCATGCTTGCATGGCAATCTCTAGGCTGGAGAAAAGGAAGGGAACCAAAAGGAACAAAGAATGAAGACAGCAAACGAGTATTCACATTCAAAACTTCGCTTGTGGCTTCTTTCCAAATATCTGGCTGTTCCTGTCTCCTTTGCCGACTCATCTTCCTCTAATGCAATCTATATGCTGACAACTCCCAAATTTTATCTCTAGTGCAGATCTGTTTTGAGTGTCTGACTCATGTATCCTTCTCTACACCTGACTGTTCTACTTTATTTTAGAAACATCTTGAACTTTGCATATCTATAATCTCAGTGGTTTATAATACCAAATTTTTATTTTTTTTTCCTCCATATTATCGCTCATGTACTGCTCTGCTCCACGTGTTTTGCTTCAGGATGTAGCCCAAGAAGTAACTAACTCTTAAAGAGGAATGCTGTTTTTGTGGTAGACAGAAAAGAAAAAAAATCACCAAAGCATAGGATCTCGATCTTGCTCTTCTTTTCTTGTAGAGGTTTTTGCCTATGTGCGAGAGAGAGAGAGAAGCGTAGGGTCTCTTAAAGCTTCTGCTTCCAGAATTAGTGTATATATCACTTTTCTCCCATTTCAATGACAAGAACAAGTCAAATGGTCAAGTCTGACAACAGTCAGATGTGACTAGGGTAGCCCTCTCATTGGGAGGTGTTCTGTAAGTCACTTGGTACCAGTAAAGTCCATGGCAGCTCTGAAACGCTACCGGAAGCCTACCCTGGAAGTGGAAATCTTCCCTTAGACTACCACTCTTTCTCTGTTCACTCTGTCATAGCTCCTGAACTTCCTCTCTGAGATATGGTTCTTTTTCATTACTCAGGTGGGTTACAGCAGAAATGGGCATTAAAGATTTTGCCGTCTTGGGAAATAAGATACTTTCTCAATTTCCTACAGGTCCATAGAAGATATTGGGGAGGGGGTTACTCCTTTTTAATCCCTCATTCTAGCTCCTCTCATTTCCAACCAATTGTTTTCTTTCTGTCACTACAGATTGGTTTGCAATGTTCTGCTGATGAACATTTAGGTTATTGCACAAATTGTGGCTCTTACAAATAAAGCTACTATCAATATCTGTGTACAAGTTTTTGTATGGGTATACACTTTCATTCCTTTTGGA